GAGTTAGCACTAACTATGGCCTAACAACAGCAGCATCTCTAGGTACCTGGGTGGCCTAAGTCATTAAGTACTAAACTATTAACCAAAGGTTGGCAGTTCAAACACATTTATAGGTGCCTTTTGCTGGTGGCATTTCAGGCTACCCATTGGGCTACTCACTAAGGGGTCAGCAGACTGAACCTGCTTGTCCCTCTGGGAGACGGGGTTTCTGCCCCCATAAAGATCTACTGTCTCAGCAACCCTACGGACCAGTTCTATTCTGCCCTGCAGGGTCACTAAGAGTCTGAATCAACTCGATGGCAGTGAGTTCGGCTTTTCTGGTTTGGGTTTATGGCAGGTACCAGAGAAAGTCATTCTAAGGTCACCGACTCAATACGTGCAGGGTCACCGTGAGTCTGAGTTAAAACTCCATGGGAACTAACAAGAAAGTTATAGATAATGCTGTGTCGATCTTAGTGGAGAAAAGATTGATTTTCACTTAGAAATTGAATAAAGTTACCGTTCTACTAAAATATCAGATGGGACCTCCCTGTAACAGCGTCTCCTGGGATGGACTTAGAAGTAAATTTAACTGATATTGAGGTGGAGGGAAGGTGATGTGGCTGCACTGAATACAATTCGCCACGATCCCACTTTAAGTTGACTATTAGCAGGCACTGAAAGAGCCCTGGTGGCATAGCGGTTATTCTTTGGACTGCTGCCCAGAAGGTTAGCAGTTTGAAACCACCAGCTGCTCTCAGTAACTCGCTGTCCTATGGGTCACTGTTAACTCAGCATCAACTTGATGGCAGTGCTTGGCAGTTACCAGGGAGCCCTGGTGGCATAGTGTGTGGAGAGTAGGGCGGCGAACTGCAAAGTCAGCCAGTGGTTCAAACCTACCAGCCACCCTCCAGGAAAAAGAGGCGGCGTTCTACTCCTGTAAAGATTTACCACCTCGAAATCCCCACAGCAGTTCTACTCTGTTACTCTGAGTCGTCGGAAGCAATTTGATGGCAGTGAGATTTTTGTTTTGTTTATAGCAGGTACCAGTAACTATCATCCTTTAAGGTTTCAATGCCGTCACCAAAATAACATTTCAAGGCCTATGGGAACCGCAAGATAAGACAAGCACGAGTCCACCTCTCAGCTTACCAGTCCCCAAGACCGGACAGGGGAAGATCTCACAGTTATCACCCCACCCAGCGCCTGAGGTGCAGCAGCACTCCTGCTTGGTGATGTTGGGGGCCAGGACATTGTCACAGAGACTGGCATCGTTCAGATTATAGTAGCATTCTTTCTTTTCTTCTTTGGGTTGATCAACAGCGACATCTAAATAGGGCAGAGAAAGGATTCTTGATCAGACACATTAGATCTACCTACAGTGCAACAGGAAGCACCCAAGGGTTAAAAAACAAAACCAAAACAAAACCGTACCACCAGGTATCTCCATAGCAGGTTATTTTCTGAAAGTAAGCTTCCTCCCATTTCCAGGGGCCAAGTCTTCCACTTAAAGATGAAAATGCACTTGAGTCCCGAATTTTGGTAGATTTCTAACACGCCCCAAGAGTGTAAATCTGTCAAAATCATTTCCTTCTACGTGAACCAATTACTTTATTCTTGTGCATTTGGCTGTGAGTGGAGTTTCCATATAGACTTTCCTGCCAAACCCAGGGACCATTCTTGACTGAGCTGTAACACCTACTTAAGTCAATGAAAACTTTCCCAAACACTTGACCAGAGATGGGGGCCACACATACTATTTAACCCTTCGGTGGTGATTGAATCAATCATGCACACCATCTTGTCAAAGCAGAAGACAACCAGGAAAACGCTGTAGGAACCTGGGATCTATAAAATGACCTGTCATCATTGAAAATCTAAGTCCTTCCATTGTTGCAAACGTCTAACATGGAATGGAATCCTGAGTGGCAGCTGTGCCTCAGAGTGGATTACCAAGATGGGTTCTGGTTCTCTGTTCTAGTGGGGCCTAGAGCAAAGAATATCCCAATGTGCTAAATCTTACCCGCTCGGAGAGAAGATAAACCGGGTCATGTGAAAGAACACACCCTTGGGAACACAATCCGACGACTTTCGAACAAGAAACATTATTTCATTCGGATGGAAGGTATTTTCATCATGCGCATGCTGTTCAAAAATAACACTGGTGACTAGACTGGAAAAGTAAGCCTAATCCCTTCCCGACCACAGGCAAGCGAGCAGCACAGTCTATGGTTTGAATGTATCCACAGTCCGTACTGTATGATGGGTGAAATAAGCAGGATACTGACGGCTGCCATCGCAATGACTTAGATGAATTCTAATGAAATACTTTCACCAGAACTCTGGTAACTCCAGATTCCTTATCCCCCAAGAACTGCAGGTTCAAAAAGGGACTATATTTGCCAGAGAGCATCAAGACTTTATGTCAACCAGCTACTTATCCTTAATATTTTTTCAGTTTGTAGATAATCATATTATAGGAAAATCTAATGAGTTCTTTTCACAATAGTTTCATGTGTGTTTATTTTGGCAGGGTCTGGGTGACTGTGACAACTTGATTTCTATACCGAATAGAAAAGGAGCTTATACAGCACAAGTTCACAAAGACGATCAGAAAACAAACTGCTCTTGCCCTTCTCCCATGGCCTTCAACGCAAGCCAACCAAGTTGTCTTCGCATCTGAGTACTGCTGCCACAGAAATACCCATGGTCTAGGATGCCACAAGGCTACAGCCAGGGCACTCGCTTCAGGAGAAGGCCCTCTGTCCATCCTGGGAGGGAATCCTTCTGTCTGTCGGCTTCTCTAGAATCCTTGCTGGGGTTCCTCGGTGACCTCCATTTGTCCTTCCATTTTCTCTGCCTAGTGTTTTCCCATCTCCCCAAAGAGACTTCTTTAAGAAGCTCCCTATGCTGGCATGGCTCATTAACATAGCAAAGACAACCCTAACCTCCACCACATGGGCTCACATCCATAGGCATGTTTTAGTGTCAGTTGCCATCACCCCCGCCCCCCATCGTTTATTCTTCATTGGATCTTCGGTTTGTGGACTGTTGTGGTTAGGTGCCACGGGGTCGGCTCTGAGTCGGACAGTAGAAGGAGACATCACCAGGGCCTGCATCATCCTCACAATGGTTCCTTTGCCGGAGCCCACTGTAGCGGCCACTGCGTACATCCAGCTCATCAAGGGTCTCCTCTTGTTGGCTGCCCCTCCACTCCACCACGCGCGATGTCCTTCCCCAGGGACTGGTCTCTCCTGACAACAAGTCCAAAGTTCGTAAGATGAGGTCTAGCCATCTAGAGCATTCGAGCCGCACGTCCGCCCAGACAGATCTGCTGGCTCTTCTGGCAAACCATCGTGTTTTCAATATTCTTCCCCAACATCACAGGTGGAATGCATCCATCTTTCTTGGGTCTTCCTCATTCAGTGTCCAACTTTCACATGCATACGAGGTGACTGAAAATACCATGGCTTAGGTCAGGCGCACCTTAGTCCTTAAAAGTAACAGCCTCGCTCTTCAACACTTTCAGGAGGTCTTGTACAGCGTAGGCATAGGGGATAGGATGTACAGGCTGCATTTTGGAGGGACACGACTCAGTTCCTAACACAAGCAAAATAATTATTTGCAGGATGTGTTGTTCTCCGAACACAGACGTATCCCAAAGGTCTCAACCCGTTTGATTCTGATGACTTCTCGGATTTTTCTGTCCTTGGCAGATCTAAGCCTGGACTCTAAATGAACGTTAAGAGCTGATGACAAATTCAAACCTCTGGAGGGGTTAGTTTGTGAAGCAATGGTAAACCATTTTCCTGTCAAGTGTGACTGAAATACCTACTACATTCCTCCCCTTGTCTAGCCGGCTTCAGTGTACAGAGAGGGTGATGCTACTTTTAGCCATGGCCGTGGTGGAGGTGCCCACAGCTCGCTCTTTTCAGCGGAGGTTCCAAGCTCGTCAGAAAACTCTTATTTGGGAAACTAAGGATCCCCTGAGCAAGTCCGGGCAATCTACTTCCCAAAGAGCCAGGCACATCGAACTCGAGAGACCCCAGTTCCATGCCGCCTGCGCAGGAGATTGCCAGGATCAGAGCCAAGTGCAGGGCAACGGCCCCAGGCCACATCTCTTGAATGAGCAATTCAATCGCAAAAATCTGTTGAAAATTTTAAATCAACCCTTCTCAACATTGGAAAAGAAATGAACTATCACCAACTGTGTGCAATAACTCCAGTCAGCTGGTGTGAAAACGCCTCAGCTACTAATGGATACATGTGGGCCTGTAATTCATGGGAGCAACACACCGGCAGGTTTACCTCCCAGCAGGTGCTCCGAGGGTCTCTGTGATGGTTTTTCCTCGTGTACGAAGTGTTAGGTGGTATTTACTGTAAAGTGAAACACGAGCCCACGGGACCTCAAGGAAGACTGCTGCTAAGAGTCACAGGTCATTAGAAACCACAGGTTCTGAGTCAGATCTTGGCAGAAAAAATCTATCCTTATTTTTTTTGTGTGCAACACTGTTTTCACATGGAGGTACCAAAAAAAAAAAAAAAGGATTTTTTTCAAAGTTATGTATTAATTTTATTTTAACTAAACAACCTTAACACCTTCAAAATACTCTCCATTACACTTAATACATTTGTCAAAACAGTGATTCCATTCTTGGAAACATTTTTCATATTCATCTGTTCGGTTGACTGACAGCAGCACCTTCATTTTTTTTCTTGACCTCTTCTACATTGTTAAATTACTGTCCTTTCATGTCCCTCTGCATTCACAGAAACAAACAGCAGTTGCATGTAGCAAATTCAGGTGAATAAGGCATGTGGGGCAAGAGAGGCATGCAGTTTTTGGCCAAAACCTGGCTCACTGAGATGGCTGCGTGAGCAGGTGCATTGTGTGGTGGCAAAACCAGTCCTCCATCTGCCACAAATTAGGCCGTTTTTTCACACACTGTTACAACCTTTTCAGAACCTCTAACTTAGTGGATCTCAACCTTCCTAATGCCACAATCCTTTAATACAGTTCCTCATGCTGTGGTGACCCCCCCAAGCATGAAATTATTTTCGTTGCTACTTCATCACTGTAATTTTGCTACTGTTACGAATCGGGTGACCCATGTGAAAGTGTCGCTCGACCCCCAAAGGGTTCGCAACCCACAAGTTGAGAACCGCTGCTCTAAACAGAAAGTTTGATGAACAGTTGGAAAGAACTCTAAATGCATTAAGAGTTGGCATTTCTGTCCACTCAGGAAGTTGATGGATGTCCAGAACAAGGTTTGTCATCAGTTGAAATTTCACCTTTTTGGAAACAAGAAAACCACCCGTACTTGAGTTTTTCCCATAGCACTGTCCTTGTAGGCTGTGTTCAACAGCACAACAGTTTCTGCTGCATTTTTCCTGAGCAGGGAACAAACTTTCACAGCTGCACGCTGTTCTCTGAAATAGGCCACCACAAAAATGAGGTTCATGCAAAACTGCTTTTACGAAATAATTCACTGTGACCAGAAAGAACCTTCCCAGGCGACCCCACTGAGTGCACTAACTCAGAGCGAGGAAAAACGTGTACTCTGGAAGCTGTGCTCTGCCCTGCATAATTCCAGGGTTGTTTTTTTTGGGGGGGGTACCCCCTTGTATGTTCCTGACAATGTTCACTAGGAGCCGTGGTGGCACTGTGGTTAAGTCACTCCTCTGCTAAGTGAAAGGTTGGTAGTTGGAACCAACTAGCTGCTCTACAGGAGAAAGATGGGGGAAGTCTGCTTCTGTAAATCGTACAGTCTCAGAAAACCTACAGCGCAGTTCTCCTGTGTCCTGGGGGAGAGCTGTGAATGGAAATTAACTCAATACAACTGGTTTAACGGGTATGAGCAATGTTCATTACACTCACCTAGCACAGAAACTAAGGAATGAAAGAAAATTATCTATTTTTGTTGTGCCTTTCCTTGGGAAGGGAACTCAGATTATTGGACAAGGGAAAGGGGAAAAAAACAACAAACACAATGTCATTATATTATTCAGGTTTTATGTCGGCTGTCACCGATTGTGCTATTTTCTTTCCAAGCAGTTTGAAAACTCAATGTTTACACAGCTGAAACTGAAGGATAGTCGGCCCTCATCCGTGTCTGAAAACCAGATGCAAATCCCTTTTTTAAAAAAACAACCACTAGTTGACAAAGGTCGTTCTGTGAAAAAGCACCATTTCCTTATCTCTTCACCTTTTTTACATAATTAATTTCCTACAGCATTTTTCCATTGGTGGAAAATTCCGACCAGTGAACTTGCTCAATGCAATCTCTTCAAAGAATCTGTCTGCGCTTCAGGCACTGCTGCCAGGGTGG